TTCTGGAGAAAAATAGAGCAGGCTCAAAGATGAAGCTCACTATAGCGCGTATGTCGACCACTTATGTTCACGTACACCTCAAATGGACTTTACTTTGAAAGGCTAATCGTACAACTGTGCACATACGCTAGCGCACGCATAAAAAAAACAAAGTATACTTGGGCCTTAAAGGGGTCATCGGATGCCCATTTTCCACAAGTTGATATGATTCTTTAAGTTCTTAATGAAAAGTCTGTAACATAGTTTGGTTAAAATTTCTCAATGGTAGTGTAAAAACATATTTTTTTACCCTGCCAAGCCGTTTTGTAGCGTTTTCCTTTAAATGTTAATGAGCTCTGCTGACCCCGCCCCTCTCTTCCGCGCTGCTCTCTGAGGGACTGTTTACTTTAGCCGCATTCATCGTGAAGCTTGCTAATTATCACATTATTAGGAAAGGCAATTTGCAAAGACTCATTAAAAAAACCTTATACTCACTTGCTGGATCACGAATGATTCGCGTGAACATAGACGCATTTAGGTAGATTGGGGGCACATTCCCTTCAGAAACAATGTAATCCTCTGCGTCTTCAGCGGCTCAGATGTCGGGAGTAAATGACGACTGCTGTGTTCATCATTACATCCAACAACAGAACACCTCAATCACTTAGGAGTCAATATTGTCTACATCTACTCCAGCGGTGAAACAATGGCGGACTGATGATAGTCACTCAGGGCGGAGCTAAGGTAAGACGCCAGTCCAGTCTGTGCTGAAACGCTACTGTCAATCAAACTATCGTGGGAGGGGCCTGTCTGTGTGACGTCACCTGAGATCGGCTCGATTTGAGAAAGGGGAAAATAAATTATATAGGAGTAAATGACGACTGCTGTGTTCATCATTACATCCAACAACAGAACACCTCAATCACTTAGGAGTCAATATTGTCTACATCTACTCCAGCGGTGAAACAATGGCGGACTGATGATAGTCACTCAGGGCGGAGCTAAGGTAAGACGCCAGTCCAGTCTGTGCTGAAACGCTACTGTCAATCAAACTATCGTGGGAGGGGCCTGTCTGTGTGACGTCACCTGAGATCGGCTCGATTTGAGAAAGGGGAAAAGAAATTATATATTTATCATTATAGGGTGGTTGTGTACACACACTGCCAACACACATTTCAGTTCAAACAACTTGTAAAAGTCCATGTAGCATCGGATGACCCCTTTAAGGAAGCTCACTAGGTTTTGGAACACATCCACAATCCCTGTCTTGCCCTTTCAGTAACAAGTGGTGATGTCTCTTAACTAAACAATGACGCAGTATAGTATGCTAGTTATGTTAGTAGGCAGACACTGACTATACATGATGACTATGGCCTTATGATACAATGGCCTTTTTGTGCGAATTCAAAGCAGAGCTAAGGGGTTTGTGGAGATTTCATTCAGTGCAAATGCTTTCCATGAATGAATGAAACAATGAGAGCTTATTCTAAGATGCTTTCGCCCACTGCGTCAAATAAGATGTTAAACCATTCAAAATGATTAAAGTAAATCTTTATTATTTTCTTGCTGGAAATTAGGAAGTGAAGAACATGTAAATGAGGTCTTTACATAATTGACATTTGAAGGGGAAAAGATGATTTCTTTTTGAAGAATATCCTCGGAATCTTGCGCATCAAATCAAATAAGGTTCCGTTTATGTTGCTGTGTCAGTCAGGACTATTCGTTTTAATATGTTTTTGACCGTTTATTATATATAAGTGACTCCAGGGACAAGTAAAAGCAAAAAGCCTCTGTAAATCCTCCCAGGATCTGTTTGTCTTAGGTGATCTGTCAGACGTGGCATCACATGTTCTCACGCTGACCTCCGTATGTGGTGACATCAAATATAGATTTGCCATCTTCCACTGAGAGAGGATCTGAGATGACAGTTAAGCCTGAGATGGCATCGTATGCCATCTGACATCCTCGCAGGTTGTTCACGCTTTCTAAGAGCATCAGGGGCTAATGAACTGTTGGCATCACCGCGAGGAGGAATCCGTCTCAAGCTGCCCTAATTCCCTCAGTGCCTTTGAGTTTGTCTCTGGACAGAGTGCTGCTGGACATTAGGTGACTTTTTTTGGAATAAAAAACACTGAGATGTTGATACCATATTGTAAAATGAATACTTTTAGCTCTAAATGTGTTGTAAAACGGCACACTTGTGACCTCACATCAATTAGAATTCTGTGCTATCTCATCTAAAGCAGCGCAGCATGGCCTCGCCCCCTTTGCTGCCTTTTCCCGAGGGCGGGGTTTATCTGGGTTTGTGATGTCACAGACCCGGGAAGTAACTCGTTGTAGTCCCTTACCAGCTGTTTTTGTAGGCATTAAACCGCCAGAATTTTAAAAGACGATATTTCCGTTTGCATTGAACTTTCAGCTTCGTAACTTTGCAGATGTTGTTTATGCTCAAACAGCAACGTTACACACTAACTAACGTTAAAAAAGTGAAATCGCAATCAACCCCTTTAATATTATTAAGTGTCTTGCCATGGTGCCTAACAACCGTTAGCTTTTGGGGAAAAAATAATAATTTTAATGGTTTATTATTTTAGTGTCTCACCATGTGAAAGCAACTAAAAATGTGAGTATATAAGTTTCATTGATGAAGTTTAATTAATGGCCTTTTTGCATTTGATTCTGCTGTACTTGGTGCATTTGACTCATTTCTCATCTCAAATCCAGTAGCAGATTATTTCAGCAGTTTGTCAGTGGGATTTGAGGGTTACTTCACACTCATCAGAAATAAATTTGTGCAGTTGTGTGAGATGGAATGCACCATCTGCTGGTGGTCAGCGGACGCCAACATTCTTGAAGCGATAAAGTTTGGTTTCAGAGGTTTGCTATTCTGGTAGCAGCTGTCTTGTCGTGTTTAGCCATGCATTGTTTTCATCCAGTGGATAATAAAATGCATGATCTCTGGAAGAACCCGGGCCATATCTACAGACATACGGACCCGAGCCATATCTATCAGAGTCTTAGAAACTGCATAGCAATGATCTTATAACCACTCAGAGAAATTGTGGTTTTCTGTTAGTATTGCTGTCATTCTAATTGTCATTCTCTTTCACCCGCTTGTTGTTGACATTCTGTGTCACCTAATCTAATAATGGCACAAATCTACAGTTAATCCTAAATTTAACCTCTCTGGATAACCTTAATCCCTGCAGACTCCAATTCAATCCAGTCTCCACTTTGCTGTTGTATGATGTAAGGTGGAGCTGCAGTCATGTCACAGAGTATGATAGTATTAGCTGCAAATTCAAATCTATTCTGCTGATTTTTTTTTTATCCCCTAAAAAGTGCTGAGGCTGCAGTCACTTGGTGGTTGGAAGACTTGCACACCTGTTTCTCACAGGCTTCTGGGAGTGTATGTAAGCGATTGAGTTAAGCGCTTTCATGGCCAGTAGAAGCAGTGAAGTGGGTTTGGACGAGGGTTAGTCAGAAGTAGGAGCTTTGTCCCCTTGTCATGGACAAGTGTGTGTGTGTGTGTGTGTTAAGGCAGGAGAGGAAGGACGACAGACTGCAGATGACAGCTGTCATGCAGGCACTCTACACCAGCCACATGTGGAATTAAGCTCTGCAGAATGTGCTGTTAACTACTGAGATGAATGTTTAAATTTAGTAGCTCCCAAGTTATAAAGTGTTCTGTATACAATCTATTGGCGCTTTTCCACTGCGTGGTATGACTCGGCTTGGCACGGCTCAGTACGGCATGGCACGGTTCGACTCGGCACAGTTTGCGTTTCCACTGCAGTTCAGTACCGCTTTAGAGTGGACGGGATTATTCACATGTTGCGCATGTTGTTATAGTTGCGCTGCCTCTACTACCACGACTCCTAAAAAAACTTTTTCATTCCACATTGCCCCATCAAGCTCTCGCTGGATCCGCTCCTCTGCTATCAACGAGAGGAACGTCTGTACTTCCGTAACAGACAACAAAACTTTTTGGTTGTTAAAAAAAAGGTGCGCTCGTTCAAAACAGTTGCGTTCGATCCTTCGCTGGCTGTGCTGATTTAAATCTAGCGGTTCTGTTTTTAGTTTGGCTTCTTTTGCTTTTGGTGCATTTGTGGGGGGTGGTTCTTTTGAGTTTTGTTTTGTGTGGTTGTTTTGGGGGCTTGGTTGGTTTTGTTCTTTTGTTTTGTTTTAGGTTTTGTTCTGGGCCTTGGTTTGTTTTGTGTTTTGTTTTGTTTCGTTTTGTTTTGTTCTGTGTTGTGTCCTGGGTTTTGTTTTGGGTTGTTGGTTTTGTTCTGGGTTTGAGTTTTTTGTTCTGTGTTTTGTTCTAAGTTTTGTTTTGTTTGTTGTCATATATATTTTTTTAAATATTACTTTTAATGTCCCACGTGATAAACATACGTTTTTGTACATAAATCTAAGCATTATCTTGTCAGAAAAAATAACTTAATTTGACTGCAATAAAGTAATAAACATTGGATTAATTCAATAATTTTTTCCCCCAAGCCAACTCAAATGTCCCTATTAACCTGAATTCATCACACCTTATTTACAGTATTATCAGCTGCATCTGAATGAGCTAAAATTACTGTTATTCTTTCTCTCTACCTCTGATCTCTGCAGGTAGCTCCAGAGCCTGAGCCCAAACCCTTTTTTTTTTACATTTCCTCCAGCTCACTTGGTTCCAGGGTTAATATAGTTAATTAAAACCAAATATATATATGAGCAATATCTCTCGAGTACGAGGGCAATACCAGCTCTATATCAGCATTGCTGTGATTAGTCCAGAGGCACGAGGCCGCAGGCAATCACAGCCGCTGATTTAGAGCCGGTATCACTCGATGACAGTTTGACGGCACGAGTGTAAATATATAAGAAAAACAACAACGGAGTGTCTTTAAAAACCCAAGCCAACTCAAATGTCCCTATTAACCTGAATTCATCACACCTTATTTACAGTATTATCAGCTGCATCTGAATGAGCTAAAATTACTGTTATTCTTTCTCTCTACCTCTGATCTCTGCAGGTAGCTCCAGAGCCTGAGCCCAAACCCGTACCTGAAGAAGTCGTACCATCTGCACCTGTGGAAGAGGCCGTTCCTGTGCCAGAGCCAGTGCCTGAGCAAGTACCCAACTCGTCACCAGAACCAGTGGCTACACCAGTAGAAGAGCCAGTGCCTGAACCAGTGAATAAGCCTGTCCCAGAACCAGTGCCTGAACTAGTCCCAGAGGTGCCTATCCATGAAACAACATCTGAACCCACCCCAGAACCAGTTTCTGTACCAAGCCCCGAAGCAGCGCCTGTGCCCGTCCCTGAGACCTCACCAGCAGCTGAATCCCTTCCAGAAGTCCTAGAGAATACTGGTATGGATGCATCAGTGCTACACAATGTGTAGTTTTTGTACTCTTTTTGGGTACAATCCTGCCATTGTAGGTACAAGTGAACCTGTGAAGAATGCTTACACTTTGATTTACAGTGTCCTTGTTACACATGTTAAATGTACTTGCTATAGTAGCAATAGTAAATTACTAAACCAGTAATTAGTAATAGTAAGCCAAGCTCTAATCCTAAACCTACTGTACAGTAAGTATGTGCTGTTCATTTATATTGCTTAGCACATAAATGTGTAATTACAACAAGGACACTTTAGAAATGAAGTATTATCGAATGTTGCTGACACTTCATTTATTTGATGATTTTTTTTTTTACATTTCCTCCAGCTCACTTGGTTCCAGGGTTAATATAGTTAATTAAAACCAAATATATATATGAGCAATATCTCTCGAGTACGAGGGCAATACCAGCTCTATATCAGCATTGCTGTGATTAGTCCAGAGGCACGAGGCCGCAGGCAATCACAGCCGCTGATTTAGAGCCGGTATCACTCGATGACAGTTTGACGGCACGAGTGTAAATATATAAGAAAAACAACAACGGAGTGTCTTTAAAAACCCTTTTGTGTGGAACTACTTCCTTCCGCCACATATTTAAATCTCAGTTTGACAGTTTAACAGCTGAGCTGAAGCCTCCACTACTAATTCGAAAACGTCACTTTAGAACTAGTAACGAAGGAACGTTGAGTTACTACATTAAAAACTTATTGTATTACTTAATTAAAAGCTCACTGTATTATGTAGAGTATTGTGAGAAAGAGATGGACTGAGCGAGTGTGATTACCTGCATCTGATACAGCATTCATTCTTCAACTCAATCTCATATTCACAATAAAACATTAGTTTGAATGTCCGCTGAGGAAAGTGACATCTTTGTCGTACTATCTTTCAGCTGTTAAGGGTGATTTCCGATGACAGCGCTGCTCACTGCATTTCTTAACTGCGTCTTACAAGCCGTTATTAAAAGTAAAAATGACTTCCGTTTCAGTCTCTTTCAATATAAAAGTCTTAAATGCTGACTCGTAAAACAGTCTCGTCGCCATCTAATGGCAGAACAATGTCACAAAAATCACCATCACGAACACACACACTGTTTCCCAATACTAAACACTACTATGTATATAAAATGTTATTTATTGAATAATAAACAACATCAACAGCCATCATAAAAGCCATGCTCTAATATACAGCATTAAAGTTACATAAAATATAACGTGGTGAGATTTTGCCTTCAGCCGAAACTGGAACAAATGATCGATTAATGAAACCAAAGACTACCTGTCAGATTTACCCAAAACTAATTATATCTCATGTTTAACCACTATAGAGACATCAGAGCCAGCGGCAAATTCCAGAAGATCTGGCCGAGGTGAGGGTGCTCTCGTTGGGTTCATGAGCGCTGAACGGCGCTGACGCCCTGGAGCTCACATCTCTGAAAACGTGAAGCAAATTTTCAAATAGACGTTATCTTTATTAACAAACCGTATATTTGAAGTCTAAACAAGTACATTCTCGCCTAAAAAAAACTCTTAAAACTACATTCCGTGACACAAAAACATTTTTTAATTTTAGTGGATTTGGGCGTCCACCATGACACTCGCTGTGAGAAATACTGGAAGCGGAGTGATGCAAACGGTGAAAGGGCATTCCTGTGTCGATACAAGTACAATATCTCTCGGTTCTCAACCAATCAGATTTGAGAACCAGAATGAGCTGTTGTATGTATACAGATCATTAATATTAATAGACATTTGATTATGTTGTTACGTTTGTTATGTTATTGCTGGGTTTCAGAGATAAATAAAAAAGAGAAAAAAATAAAAACGTAATACAATAAAAAAATATATAAAATAAACTAAAATACATGGTAATTTGACACTCTGGAGAGTAAATCATTTATATTTCCACTTTTCTCTCATGCATTGAGGTAGTTTGTTCAGATCTCCAGTCTTTCATTTGTCTTGTCGTATCTGCCTGTGGCTTTCTGAGCGAGTGTATTGAGATCAGGGCTGTGAGTGCTCACGGAGATAAACACTCATAGGTCAACACACTGGAGCTTTGTGCTCTGCGGTTGTAAACTGATGCCAGTGTGTAACTGGGTCCCGGTCACACACTCCTTTGTTCTCCCAGCAGTACATTGGCCTCTAGCTTACAGCTTTTTCTGCGTTTACATCCAGACATCAGTCGTTGTGCTCCGATATAACCCTTGTTTGCAAAAGACCAGTGTTTCTTGGGCAAAAACATGTCAGTTAATGAATTACAACATCAACGGAGCGAGTTTCAGCAGCACATACCACAGATGTGAGGTGTGTGAAACGGGCTTCAGCCGCCAACCGCATGTGCAGAACAGCTTTTATCCTCCAATTACTATAAAGACTTCCTAGCTGCCTGTGCCAATGACTTGACAGGCCTGTAAGTGGATTAGACCTGGTAGGATGATCATCTGGGTTAGGAACAGGGTGAGCTCCAGTGTCACAGAAGATTTTCTGCCCTTCCGGTCTTGTTGTCTGATCCGTCTCGACAATACAGACACTTTCATACTGATCGAACACCTGCTCTTTGTATCCAGATCAAGTGTGGTCCGCTTTGTAGCTCACTTAGACAGGACACAGAGGTATTTGGCTGACATTTAAAGCCGTGAAGAAGCGAGTTCTGTGATCCTGCGAACTCGGGAAAGCACTGCTCACGTGATTGTCTGCTCTAAATAAAATGCCATATGCTTGGAATAATAGGAATAAATCCATATTTAATAATATCCTATTTCTTATTTCATTATTTAATTCTCCGAAAACAGACGCGCTATAGTTGAAATGGTTTCCTCCTCGCATTTTGTCTCTCAAAATGATGGATGTCATTAAAAATGTGGAGATTAGCAGAAATAAGTTAATGCAACCTCTTATTTATATAAGGTAAATACAAATCTGCTTAGTTTATATACAGTATCAAATTCTTGACACGTTTGAAGTTGTCCTAAAACCAAAACAGTACACGTTCTTGTCTTAGGACAACTTTGATGAACTTTTTTGATCCACTTCAAATGTTGACTATTGTGTGTACGTACATACATGTATATATGTGAATATGTGTTAAAATGTAATTTATTGCTGTGATGCAAAGCTGTATTTTCAGCATCATTACTCCAGTCTTCAGTGTCACATGATCCTTGATGCTCAAGAAAATTTTGTTGAAAACAGTTATGCTGCTATTTTTGTGTAAAATGTGATGCATTTTTTCCCAGGATTCTTTGAACAAGAAACGTAAAAAAAAAAAAAAAAAATACTGAAACTGAAATATTTTTCTATCAATGTAAAAGTCCTCTTAATCATCTATCGTCAGGTAAATGTTAAATCTGATATCGTCTCTTTCAGATGTTGCGGCTGCTTTAGTGACGGATGAGGTCGAGACCTCTGCAGTCCTGCCCGGTAATAAGAGGACCACCAAGTTTGAGAAGAGAATGACCACGGAGGAGATGGAAGAGGAGCAGAGGTCAGTATTTTGCTTCTCCCTCAGTCCATCCACTGAAGCAACAGCTTCTCCTAATAACATAATCAACATTTCACTGTTTTGCATTTCATATATATCTAGAAATGCTTGAATCGAACACCATTTCAAGCATGTGAAGTGTGTATGTGCAGTATGTGAAGCCTCCCCTCTGAAGTATGCAGAATGATGCTTTTTAGTGACTATTTTATCTATCTAACTATCTATAGTGACCCTTGGAGCACAAAACCAGTCATAAGTGTCATTTTGTTTTTAATTGAGATCTATACATCCTCTGAAATCTGAATAAATAAGCTTTCCATTGATGTATGGTTTGTTAGGATCGGACAATATTTGAAAATCTGGAATCTGAGGGTGCAAAAAATCAAAATATTGAGAAAATCATCTTTAAAGTTGTCCAAATGAAGTTCTTAGCAATGCATATTACTAATCAAACATTAAGTTTTGATATATGTACAGTAGGACATTTACAAAATATCTTCAAGGATCATGATCTTTACTTAATATCCTAATTATTTTTAGCATAAAAGAAAAATGGATCATTTTGACCCATACAATGTTTTTTTTGGCTATTGCTACAAATATTCCCCAGCGACTTAACACTGCTTTTGTGCTCCAGGCTCACATATATATATGTATATATATATATATAATAGGACATGTTTAAGATTTCATCAGCTGAGTTTCAGATACAATGAATAAAGTTGAAAATGTATATTTACAGAGAACAGAAAATTATTATTATTATTACTTGCGTGTTCTATTTAATTTTTTGAACTTAAAGTAACAATCCAGACCTGACTTTTTGGGTCAATTAAATAACCAATCAAATGAAATATGCATATATTAAGCAGCAAAAACTGTTTCCAACATTAATAATAATTCAAGCATATTATACTGATTTCTGAAGGATCATGTGACACTGAAGACTGGAGTAATGATGCTGAAAATTCAGCTGCGCATCACAGGAATAAATTGCATTGCAAAATATATTACAATAAAAAAAAGCTATTTTAAATTGTAGTAGTATTTCACAGCATTCCTGTTTTTACTGTATTTTTGATTAAATTAATGCAACCTTGGTAAACACATGAGACTTCTGAACAACTTCATTTATACATACCTGACAGCAAATTTCATTTTGAAGCAGGTTTTGTTCCATTCTTGATGTTAAAAATGGCATTTACATGAAAAACGAAATAATGCTCAGATACGTAACTACTGCTGCTTATGTAAGTAGAATTTAAGGGCAGGTGGATTCTCAACCAGAACCAAACCACTGTCTGCTTTATCACAATTGTGCATGTAAATTCAGTCAGTGATTTGAGATTGTCTACAGTCCACATTCGCAGAAGTCACTGTGTGTGTGTATGTGTGTGTGTGTGTGTGTGTGTGTGTGTGTGTGTGTAGCTGTAGATTAGCAGGCTGGCTCAGAGTCAGAACCCTACAGTAATGGTCTGTACATAATGTCCTCTGCTCCTGCCCTTTATCTTTGCAGGATAGAGTTCACAAATGACTTTACAGCTCTTTAAACAACACCAGGCAGTATGCCTGTGTCAGGCCACTGGTAAGGTATCATTTACTTCAGTTTGACCCCTGACACCCCCCACAGTCTCACCCTTCAGCCTCCCCCATCACCATGTGCTGACACACGGTGTGTAACATGAATATCTTCCCTTCCACTCACTTTCCTTATTCAGTGACCGTTCATGCCCTCACGTGTTCAGTTACAGTAACAATTCACCCAGAAATAAATTGTCATGTGCTAGCCATGTTGTTTCAAAACCTGTTTGAATTCATTTTTGTTTGTTTGTAGATTCACTGTTTATTTTTATAGTCTTAATTTGTTTGTTTGCTTGCTTGTTTGTAAAAATCAATATTTATCTACTTGTAAAGCCACAATTTAGCAATGTTTTCATTCATTCATTCCTTTCTTTCATTCATTCATTATTTATGTAAAGTCACTATGTATTTTATTTATAACGTGTTTATTTAGTTGTAAAGTCTTTATTTATTTATTTATTTATAAAGTCACAATTTATTTATTTGAAAAGTCACAATTGTATTTATTTATTTGTAAAGTCACAATTGTATTTATTTATTTGTAAAGTCACAATTGTATTTATTTATTTACTTGTAAAGCCACAATTTATTTATGTACTTCATATATTTATTTGTAAAGTCACAATTTATTTGTTTGAAAAGTCACAATTTTATATTTATTTATTTACTTGTAAAGTCACAATTTATTTATATACTTCATTTGTTTATTTGTAAAGCCACAATTTATTTATATACTTAATTTGTTTATTTGTAAAGCCACAATTTATTTATATACTTCATTTGTTTATTTGTAACGCCACAATTTATTTATATACTTCATTTATTTATTTGTAAAGCCACCATTTATTTATATACTTCATTTGTTTATTTGTAAAGTCACCAATTTATTTATATACTTCATTTATTTATTTGTAAAGCCACAAATTATTTGTTTGAAAAGTCACAATTGTATTTATTTATTTACTTGTAAAGCCACAATTTATTTATATATTATATTTATTTGTAAACATAATTTTGTTTGTTTGTTTATTTGTAAAGTCACTTTTTATATATTTTATTTATTTGTAAAGTCACAACTAATTAATTAATTGTCCTTTTGGTGCTTGGAGCTGTATAAATGACTATCCACATGTCTTATGCGGAAAAGAGACGTTCAGACATTCTACCAAACATCGATTTTTGTGTTCCACGAATGAAAGAAAGTAATATGTGACATGAGAGTGAGCAAATAATGACAGAATGATCATTTTTGGGTGAACTACCCCGTTAACACTGTGATCCAGCTGTTTCATTAGTGGACCATGTTGAGAAAAGTGAAGTTAGTGAAAAGGAAAGCTCCTGTGGCATTTGAGTGAATGTTTTGGTATTTTATCAAGATGATGCAAGACGCAATGGCTTTCAGACACTTGTAGATGTGGCTCAGGTGTACAAATTTTTTTTTTTGCACTACGTAGCATTTACTTCCATATAATATGAAACATTTGTACAATGATGCTGTGCATGAATGCAGCGACTCGTACATATCAGGGTGAATTTTCATATTTAAAGAATCAATCCCCTTTCAGATAATGAGAGTGAATCTGAGTTGAATTGGACTCACACCACACAGAAGGCTGAACTGGAATTTGAATAGAAATGTCAACAGAGGAATTGCAGCAGTTTTGCAGAAATCACAATTAGAGCCTGACCGATATATCGTTTTGCCGATATTATCGGCCGATATGAGCCTGTATATATCGTATCGGTGAATATGCCGCCCATATGAATTTTTTTTTTTACAGAACATATAACGCAGATAAAATGCTTGAAATTACTTAGTTTGTCCAGTAAATTTCTAATAATCGTGTATTCGATAAGACATGTGCATTTCAATTCCGCTTAATGATTCCCGCGTTCGCATTTTAATGTGATTTTAAACTATTTAAGTGCAGGAAGGGAAAGAACTTGCACACTGTTTGCGTGCAGCGCACACATCTGAAGCGCGAGCACAGAGAACAGTGGTCCTGATGCAGGTTCCCAACCAGTGTTGGTTCTCGAACTGTTCCGTGCATTTCCACAAAAATTGTTCCGGGCCAGAACTGACTTCTCTTTCACATTTATCGACCAGTATGCACGAAATACGTCAGTATATCATCATAAACACAGCCGTTTTTTTGTCTTAAGTGAATGCACTGTGTAACAGTATTTTTAGATCTGTGTGTTCGGTGTTAAAGAGACAGCCGTCTAATAAACGTGCTGCCTGTCATTAATGTTAATCAAAGAGCAAAAGAAAATCATTAACTGACTGAATATCTTTCGTAATGAGGATTAATCAGTATTTTATTTATGAAAAGAAAACTATACAGTGTTTTTAAACTTTTGATTTCAATTTCTGTACCTGACATTTGTTCAGTTTTATTTATTTATGCTATTGCTAATTCATTTGTTTACTTGTCTTTAACAATTTAATGTTTGAAATTTATATTAGCCTAGTTTTTTTCTGTGGTATTTTTTTGATAAAACCATAGACATAAAACAGAATAAATATGTTTGACATCTAAATATTTGACTTAAAATTTGTTTAATGGATTTCTTTTATCTTATTGGAATTGGAATTAGGAATCGATAAGCAGACCCAACCCTAGTTAGGACATATTTTAGTTTTTCATGACTATTTTTCCACCCTCTCGCTAATCCTTTGAAATAAACGGTCCGTTTCTGAACACCCAGTAGGCATCATTGCTGTGTATATGTGACCCTGGAGCACAAAACCAGTCTAAATTTTCCACAGCTTTCCATTGATGCATGGTTTGTTAGGATCGGACAATATTTGGCTGAGATACAACTATCTGGAATCAAACAACTATTTGAAAATCTGGAATCTGAGGGTGCAAAAAAATCTAAATATTGAGAAAATCATCTTTAAAGTTGTTCAAATTAAGTTCTTAGCAATGCATATTACTAATCACAAATTAAGTTTTGATATATTTACGGTAGGACATTTACAAAATATCTTCATGGAACATGATCTTTACTTAATATCCTAATGATTTTTGGCATAAAAGAAAAATCTATAATTTTGACCCATACAATGTATTGTTGGCTATTGCTACAAATATCCCCCAGCGACTTAACACTTTTGTGTTTTGTGCTCCAGGGTCACATATGTGGGCAGTCATGTGCTGATACACATGCAAGTCCATACAGCCTAGCTCCTTTATCTTAATAGATCAAGGAAAATGAAATCCTCATGATGTCACCATGAACATTTGTGTAAGTCACAGTAGCACATGCTTCAAATCATTTGAAATTGCCGTAGAATTGAGCCACGGTACTGACTAAATATGATTGCATAAAAACAAATGTGTTTGGTAGGGCACTTTACTAACATGACTACAAGCATCTCTCCTGAATGTTTCCACGGCTCTGATGGGCTTTAGTTCAACCGCTGCATGACTAACATGCTCTGCCAAGCCTTAATCACTGTAAAAAAAATTCCGTAAAAAAACGGCAGCTGTGGTTGCCGGAATTTTACCGTAAAAAATACGGTAGCAACGTTTTAGGTTTTATGGTTTTAACTTAAATGTACAGTTAAATACCGTAATTTCATTAACTGATATAATGTTAATATACCAACCTGTTGAAGTACTGAAATCTGTTTTGTAGCTTTGTAATACGCTGATAACCACCAAATGCAGGAGGTGATGAGAAAGTCACATGATGAACCAAAGCCCATCACAAGCAGCTTTTAAATAATAACATATATAGAAGGTGCACAGTGTCATTCACACAAACACTAAACACCATCATGGTGACACACATGAAACTGAAATAATGCAATAAACATTCATTTAACAACATTAGGTGTAACACACAACCCTAATGTACAAAACTGATAAGAAAAAACTAAGAAGAAACATCGTTATTTCAACAAAATAACATCAAACTTGAAATGTAACACAGGGAATTCTGGGAATGTTATTCACTGTAAATTATACGGTCTTTTTCACTTCCAAAAACGGTATACTACCGTAAAATTAATGTCCAATACATGTAATGTCCAATACAGTTTTTAACCGTATACAGTAGGGGAATTTACCGTTAACCATTTAACAGGTTTTTACTGAAGCATTTTTACAATCTTTTACCGTTAAATTCACAGTCATTTTTTACAGTAACATCACAACACCAGTGCTGCTAACGGTGAGTGACATCTGTTGCACTAATATCTTGCATTAAACAAATAGTTCACCCAAAAAGAAAGCTTTGCTTAAAACTTACTCACCCCCAGGATGTCTAAGATGTAGATGAGTTTGTTTCTTCATGTGGAACAGATTTGGAGAAATGTAGCATTGCATCACTTGCTCATCAATGGATCTTCTGCAGTGAATGGGTGCCGTCAGAATGAGAGTCCAAACAGCTGATAAAATCATCACAATAATCCACAAGTAATCCTCCAGTGAACAAGTCGGCTCGTCTGAATGAGGAGAGAAATATGCACAAATCAAGCAACATTCACAAGCAAAAACGTGGACTCATATTTTGGCCAGAAGTGATGGTTTAAAGGTCAAAACATCTTAATAATGTATTTGTTTCGTACAAACATGCCGCTTTTCGCTTCATACCACATTAAATGTTGGACTGGAGTGGTGTGGATTATTGTGATGTTTTTATCAGCTGTTTGGACTCTCATTCTGACGGCACCCATTCACTGCAGAACATCCATTGGTGAACAAGTGATGTAATGCTAAATTACTCCAAATCCCTTGTTTTTTGTTTTTTTACTTGATTTATTTGTGTCTGTAGATTTAAATTGATGCATATCTTTAAAGGCTGTTTTCTTAGTCCACTTAAGCAGCACTTAAGCAGCACTATGTAACTTTTGGCGCTCTAGCGGTTAATAAACAGAACTGCACTCATCCCGCGGAAGAACTTTCCAGCCGGAGCTACTTCTCTAAATTTATGTCTCTGGCGATTCACGCAGGTATGTGTTCCTCCGCAGCAGTGACGACCCGACCAGCCTACAATAGTCCAAATACAAGTACTTCTTATAAGCAGTGGTGAGAGTAACTCATTACAAGTAACGCGAGTTACGTAATCAGATTACTTTTTTCAAGTAACTAGTAAAGTAACGCATTACTTTTTAATTTACAAGAGAATATCTGAGTTACTTTTTCAAATAAGTAATGCAAGTTGCTTTTTTTCCTCCAATTTATTGACTGACAGCTCTGCTGTCCCCATGCTGAGAGAAATCAGATGTTACTGTAGTTCTAAAATAAATATGAATATGCATTAATTCATCTCACTCACAAAAAAAAACACGGATTCAGTATTCCTCAAAATTAATAAAAATAATGCAATTCCAAATATGACGCAAACCTGCAATAATTAAATTAAACAAGCAAGCAAGCCCTGTCCAGATTTAAAAAGTAACGCAAAAGTAACGTAACGCATTACTTTCCTCAAAAACTAACTAAGTACCGTAATTCGTTACTTTTTTATGGAGTAACGCAATATTGTAATGCATTACTTTTAAAGTAACTTTCCCCAACACTGATTATAAGTGTACCGGAGTGATTCGGAAAAAGACAAAAAATGCGGTTTGGAAGATGAATTCATGATGTACTCACTCATTATATACATTTAGCTAAATTTATACACCGAAAAAGTGACACAGTGCTGCTTTAAACCAGACTTTACAGTATATTCTGAAAAACAATTGTCTTATGTAGTGTGAATAATCAACTTGGGAAAGTATGGTGATTATCTATCAGTTCAAATGTTCGTTTTATTTACCTGTAGTGTCTTGCCTTAAAAATAGAGTTGCTAATCTGTTAACTTGGCGGATTGATTCTGTGTAGGGCACATGTTTCTCTGGCGTTGTGCTTGTGTGAACTCGTGCGCATGTGCTTGTATGTGGATGGACTGTGTGTTCCTGGAGAACTTCATGCGAGTTGCTTGAGGCTCTGGCTTTATGATAATGAATATTCTTTTGTTTCTATTTTTCAGAGATGCGGAGTAAGCAGACGTCGAAGCATGCGCTCCCTATAATGAACCATGAGGACCTTTGAGTGACTTCTCCGTTTGACTGTCTCTGAAATGTGTAGTAATGGAAACTTACCATTGTGCTTTTAGTCTTTTCCCCCCTTTGTTTTCTGCCTGTGAATAACTTCTTAAAGCAAAACGCCAAAGAACATAAGATTATATATATATATATTTACACTTAGGTACAGCTAGATACAACTATGGCCCATAGACTATGACATGTCTATTAAAACCGTAATGATGTATTTAATCAAACACTGAGCTCGATTTAATGATACATTTACATTAAGTTCATTTAGTCTACGATTTGGAAACTCTTTTGTAAAGAAAGGGAGGGGTAATGGTGAACCAGTGAATCTGTTTTCTTAAATGTGATTTTTTTTTTATTTTATATATGACATGAAATAATCTTGTGCCTTTGTTGAGCATCATGTGTTCTTTAGTCAGCCAATCAGCATTCAGTCTCATAGTCTGCCTGTCCTGCTCTTCTGAAATACCATCGCGCCCGCTTGAGGACACGCACAGCTATGACCATCACAGGCTAATGGGAAAGTGCTTGCACTGCAGAGTCACATGTTTATGATGAAATTTAGAAACCATGTGCATTTTGTTGTTGTTGTTTTTGGATGCTATGTTAAAATAAAATAGGTGAATCTCATCAAACATTTTATGAGTGACATTTCATGCCAGAATCGGAAGAGAATGTGAAGTTATAATTTGCATAAAGAAAAATAAAGCCTATTTTTAAGAACCATTATGATTTTTTTTTTTTGCATTCTGAAAAAGTCATAAATATTGTGGTAAACGTAATTATTGGCGATGCAACAAATGCTACCATGTGTGAATGCATGCTTTATTTTAAAGAGAATATCATTTTGATTTTGCAGGTGACTGATAGGGTTTCGTGAGATTCACCCTCATGGCTTTTGTAATATCAATAAAGAGCCAAATTTGAGGAATGTCTCTTGTGGCATTATTTCCTATGATACACAGTACTTACCATGAACAGAATGATAACTTTCAATGGAATTTCCTTCAATTAAAGGCATAGTTCACCCCAAAAAATGAACATTTTGTCATCGTTTACTCAACCTCATATGGTTCAAAAACCCGTATGAGTGTCTTTCGTCTGTTGAACACAAAAGAAGATATTTTGAAGAATGTTGGCAACCAAACTGTTGCTGGTAGCCATCGACTTCCATAGAATTGTTTATTTCATACTATGGAAGTCAATGGCTACCAGCAACTGTTTGGTTAGCAACATTCTTCAAAATATCTTTCTTTTTGTATGTGTAAAAAAGTTATATACAGATTTGGAACAAATTGAGAGTAAGATGATGACAATGTTTTTATTTTTTTGGTGAACTATCCCTTTAAGATCTTTTTGAACTGAACTGAAGCTTTTGGGAATGATTAAGACTCCAGACATCTGACTGAGTGTGTGCAATTTTCTTTGTTTTTTTTCCCCTTTATGCTGTTGTGTTTGTGTTGTAGGGTACAGCAGGAGCAGCTGGCTACCATCTTCAGACTGCTCCGAGAGAATCAGGACATGTTTGGAGAGATGACTCAGGGGGACATGGAGGAATAGCTCAAACTTTACTCGCACTAGTCTGACCACGCACGCAGTTTCATATAGGACAGAATATGGGCTTTTCACACTGTGCGTGCCCCGGGTTAACATCTATAGCACTTTTTACATTCACTGTACTGTACCTATGTTTATGCTTCGAGTCACAGACACTCCAGCTCGTTAGAAAAGTAATTGTAGGATTGAGGGTTAAGCAGGATTTAATGCTTGTAATTTGAAAAGAGGTTCACGTTCAACCCTAAAATGTAAGTGTGAAAAGCCCAGATTGATCTCCACATGACCACTGTGCAAAACCCTTGCTGTATGATACACAGGTAGCCTACTGCAGTGTTCTCATGATCATATCAGCTGAACTTTTTACTCATTTTCTCGTTTTTAGTGTGTGAATGGCAAATGTAAATAGTCTGCATTCATCTTTTTGCGTTAATAACCCTGTTGAAAAAACCAGCATATGCTGGTTAGGTATGTTTTGACACTGGGATGCTGGTTCTTTTGCTGGTTTATGCTGGTCATGTGCTGGCAAAGCACCAGCATAAACCAGCATCCCAGCGTCAAAACATACCCAACCAGCAATGCTGTTTTTTTCAACAGGGAAATGCTTCATAATCTAATTCCAATGCAGACTGCATATTCAACATATTTTACTGTTGCATTTTCTCTGTAGATTGTTATAAATCGTCTTGTTTGTTTCTGTTTACTTGAACAAACATATTAAAATAGTATTTGTATTTCCTGTAACATTTCTTGCAGTTTTTAAAACTGATATGTTGTCTTGTACTCATAAACACTTAATACCACATACATTTTCACACACATTTTTCACAAATCGAACCGCGTAGAGAGAGACTCACTTTCTTCGAAACGGGCGTAGGTTAGATGTGAAATATTTGGGACATTTCGGGTGGCGATTAAAGGGATAGTTCACCCAAAAATGAAAATTATGTCATTAATTACTCACCCTCGTGTTGTTCGAAAACCCGTAAGACCTTCGTTCATCTTCGGAACATGATTTAAGATATTTTTGATGAAATCTGAGAGCCCTCTGACCCTCCCATAGACAGCAAGGTAACTAGCACGGTCAAGGTCCAGAAAAGTACCAAGATGATCGACAAAGTAGTCCGTGTGACATCAGCGGTTCAACTGTAACGTTACGAAGCTACGAGAATACTTTTTTGCGCAAAGAAAACAAAAATAACTACTTTATTCCACATTTTCGTCTCTACTGCGTCACTTTGGACAAGCGTTCACGACAGTACCATGCCGCGAGCGTGTGGCGGGAGGGAGAGCCCACATATTCCATCAAAAATATCTTAAATCGTGTTCCGAAGATGAACGAAGGTCTTACAGGTTTGGAACAACACGAGGGTGAGTAATTAATGACAGAATTTTCATTTTTGGGTGAACTATCCCTTTAATGTCAGCCCTTTGTTGTGAAATTGCTCAAAAACGATGTGGTAAATGTGAAAGAAGGCGTGGGGGGAAATTGGAGGCTAAATGCAGCCAATGTATTCTTAATCTGTTTATTTGTTTGTTAAAAAGAAGAGAAGTCAGCATTTGGTCAAGAAAAGTTTCACATTAAAACGAGGCAGTGAGAACCAAAAACCTTCAACTTTACAAGTGGTTCCAGAATGTTATACACACACACAAAAAAGAATCCAAGACGCATATTTCAACAAAGAAATGGAAAGTGTGTTTTAAAAGTGATACATTGTTTGACTCACGTGCGCATCAAACAGTGGCGAACAAGCATGTTTGAGTCTTGAGATACATGCCATATTAAAATGGCAACAGAATATAAATAGAGCGTGAGGAAAAATTTATGTTGATTCATTTCAAATAGCCTAATGATCCCGATTTAAAAGAGGCCTTCATCTGTTTTTTCGGAACACGCCCCACTTCTCGCGACACTATGAACCGCCCAAACAGTTATCGGGCGATTTAAACCTTTGTTGCGAGAACGCGACACATTGTTACCATCACCTCAACACCGACTCATCGTACCGCCGCTACCTGTATATTACCAGCGCTAAAATGGCTAACAATCTTAACGGTATGTATCATTTGTTCATGCATATGTTAGACAAGCGTAGCCTACATCGGTCTGCAAAAAGAGATTGCAAGAAGAACTGTTGTTTTCGTGCTAAATGAGGGCTTTTCTGTTTGCAGTCGACGAGGCTCGAAACGGCGAAGATAACACAACGCCTGGTAAGTTATGCACACATTTTTTTCTCATGGCTTTTATGAAAAGTAGGCAGAGCTCTCCCACCCAGCAAAAACTCGTTGAAAAGACGGCGAAAAGAAGTAAATGCCAGACGTCTAAACAACGTTAAAATTTGGTTGAAAAGTGAAAGGTGAAAAGACGTCTTTAAAAAGACGTCCAAATTACGTCTGGTGCTGGGTGGGCTCTTACTCCCTGTTGAAAAAAACTGCATATGCTGGTTAGGTATGTTTTGGCACTGGGATGCTGGTTAATGCTGGTCCTTTGCTGGTTTATGCTAGTCCTTTTGCTGGTTTATGCTGGTCATGTGCCCACACATACGTACGCAACCCAGGCAACGATTAGTTCTGTGAAACAAAGCAAAACCAATGTTACACCGTGTCTACACCGGACGCGAGTGGCGCGGCGCGACAAAATACAATAGAACACATTATAATCAGTCTACACCATAGATATATACAGTATATACTCTACATATCTATGGTCTACACTGGATGCGGCGCGGTACGACAAATCCCCGACAGAAAACTGCTGCTGTGTTCTATTCATGACGTATTGACACAGATTTCAAATGATTTTCAGCGGTCGCTTTGTCGCGTCCAGTGTACTAGACAGACTTTAGCTGTTGCGGCGCAGACACGGTGTTACTCACCTATCGAGAAGAAACAAAGCAACCTCGGCGTCCGATCGCAGGCCTTCCGCTCCTTGAGTTTTCTCCAGCGCTGGAAAGCTGATCCCATATTTACACGGGTCCTACTTCTTGCCTTATTGCCTTAAGCCTTCTTTTGTTTCTTATCCGCCATCTCTATCTTTCTGTCGCTTGGCTCGGCTAATGTCCGTCCTGTACACTGAACGCTCTCTCCTCCACATCATGAGTAGACACGCCCCTTACTGCTGATTGGCTACAAGTTTGTTTTGGTAGTCGGCCCGAATCAGTTTTTTAAAGCGTTTTTGAAAAATCGCTTACCCCACCTTTAAACTGTTCACATACATGCATACAGTTAGCAAAGGAAAAAGAACTTAAGCAGGGTACAAGAATGCAAGAAGTTATAGTATTGTTTGAGATTCAGCCAATCAATGTTTCACTCATTAATGAGAAGTTGCTGATCGTATACAATATAGGTTCAGTTGAAAAATATTAAGTTATGGCTGTTTTATAAAACAACAATTCTTCGGGTCCAAACTGACCGACTGTGAAAATCGTGTACAGATTTTGAATGCATTACAGGGGTTAAGCTGTTTTTAGTTGGCTACACGATATGCTAAGCAAGAGTTTTTTTCTGTTTTCAGTTGACGATGCTCGTCGTCTTACAAATGGTGAAGAGAATACAATTCAAAGTCGGCTTGTTTCGCCATCAGGAGTCCCGTCGTCATGTGCACCTGATGAATCAGCAGCCCCGTATAACCTTAAAACGGTGGTATCGGTACCTTTGAGTGGCAGTAACAGTGGGTCTGAACCCTGTGACGGCGGTGTAGCAGTGACGCCAGGGGATTCACTCCAGGATACAACAACACCGAGTCTTCAGCCCAAGTCCAATGGATGCAACACGTCCACCTTGAGATGTGGGGAAAAGCGGGAGAGGGAATCGGACAACCCCTCTGATGTTCCTGTGAAACGGCGTTTGAGACCATCAGAGGATAACGGGAAAGAATGTATGTAATAATCATCTATAACCATTGTGTATTTAAACAGTCGCATGCTAATACAAACGAATCTTCTGTTTCACAGGTTTACCAGACTACGACGTGAGATGTGCGGAGCTATGGATCGATGGTGAAATGGCTGCTTGGGAGGCTTGTGAATCATCAAAGTCCAGCAGCAACACCCAACGCCAACATGTTGTTCGACAACATGACGGTAACCGTTCTGTCAATCAGCCTTCCACCCAGAAGGACATTGTACGTGTTGTTCAAGCCGAAGTGGCAGCCTGTTTTCAACCCATCACAAAGTTGATTCTTTTAAATATGGAGTGGAGCAGAACTGATTTCGCTGAGATGATAAATAGACTTCGTGCACTGCAAAGGGATGTCACAGAGTTGGCAAATGAAATGCTTAATATGCGAGCAGATCAAAGACTGGCGTTAGACGCAATCTCTCTTATGAATGAAAGAATGAGTGTCATTCAAAGGTGTGTGCGTGAGACGCACCAAATGATGACTACTACTAGAAAATGATGGGTCTGTTTATTATATCATACGGATTTTTGCCTATTTTTGCTAAATTTTTTCTTTTTTATATATAATTGTATTAACGAGTGATTTTTTTAAAATGATGTGCATGCTTGTTTATTATATCACTTTTGGGTGTTGTTTGAATAGTTTTCTTAAATAAATAGCTTCAAAATGGCCCCTAAAAGATGTCACACGGATTTCAATGACAGCCCACCAGATACTGAGCAGGATATGATTTTCCAAGTAATGCAGAACCGTTTCCGTTATATGCTTTATTCCTGACCTTGTGCTGTACTGAAATTTTAAAAATTTTTAAAAATGTTTTAAAAACATATATATATATATATATATATATATATAAAAACCTACAAAACACTATTTTTTGTTTAAAAGTGAATGCCTGGATTGA